ATATAATTATCATGAAAATTATGAGACTATATACAAGTTTTAGATTCATTTCTCTCGTACCCATGAATAAACAGATTTCGTGTATCAAAGAAGAATAATACGAGATCGATGAAGAGATAAATTCATATACATCCCCTCTAATTTATAGGAATCAATAAAACGGGACCACCTCGCTAGGAATACTGGTTGAATAGAGTTTGGGTCATAGTTGATAACTTCACGTTATATATTTGTATACATGTAGATGTAATTACCTAACCAATATATGATTTGTTAGCACTTAATTAATTAGCAAACCGTTCAGATTTTAATCGTGTATTGTAAAACAATAATAACTTAAATATTAATATGAATATTAATATTGATTAAACAATTTAATTTTATAGATTCGTATGACATTCACACGATAATATTGAAATTTATTATATTCAAACTACTATCAAGAGTTAACAAATAAAAGAACTCTTGGCAAATAGTATTAAAAGTTTTTCTAAAGATATTGTAACTTGTTATTTAACAAATCAATGTTTTTTTTCCCGTGCGATGCACGGTATAGTATTTCAAAAGTGAAAATACTTATTTATTTAATATATGACAATAACAATTATAATATATTGGTAACAACATCAATATTTATACAAATTTAATAATATAAACTGATTCCAAAATAAAATTATATTAACTTAATTCTCATAATATTAAATTGATTATTAAATAAATGAATCAAAGAAATATCAAAGAAAAAATAATAAGAACAATTATAAAAAAAATACAAGTAGTGGATTATGATTGTTCTAGCCTAGATTTGGTGTTAAAGTAATTAGAAAAAATTGATGCGAAATAGGAGATAAATATATAAATAAATATTTTCTTACAAATATACCATTAGAGTTTCTTAGGTTGCCATATCGTTTCTTTCTTTTATATATAAGATAAGCTTTACCATGGGCCATTACAACTAGATAAGTAAAAAGAAAAAAAACAAAAAAAAAACATGAAAAAAAAAAAACAAAAATTATTTTTTTTTTATTAAAAGTGTGGCCTTACAAAATTTCGGCCATATTTTTTAGGTTTTGTTTTTGCTCTTTTTTTTCAACTCGTGGCATATTTGAGATTATTTTTAATTTTATTTTTGTCTCTATTAAATTTCTTATTATATATTGCAAGCACTCTTATTTTCAGACATAGACATTTCTAATAACACAACCAAAGATAGACTCTCAAATTGACGAGTGAGACACTAAAAAAACTTCAGCCTTATTTTTGTAGGGTTTTGGTTTTGCTCTTATTTTTTTTCGACCACATTTTAAAGACTTCCCCAATTTATCTCTTCTACGTCAACACGTTTGTGTTTTTATTGAATCTGGCGCTATCCTTGCCTTCCAGTTTTCATGAATTTTGTTGGGATTTTTTGATTTATGAGTTTTGAACGTCGATTATGTGTTATGATTGCAGTGTGTGTTTGTCTTTATTATTTATTATTTAGGTTTAATGAGGCATAACCCCCTCATTATGAAAAATATTAGAACTAACCACCCTTCATTATTTTTAATAAGACAAACCCCCTCAATTTGTGGCATACCATAACTACCCTCATATTTTGTGTTGGAAATGACCCCCCACCATCTTACCAAATTAATTGATATTTTTGAAGCAGTTCTCACGAATCAACCTCTTCCTAGTACACCACTTCTCCATCTCTCTTTTCTCCTATTTTTTTTTTCTTCCATCGTCTAAAAAAAAGTTTGATAAGCTTACCGACGACGGATGGGCTGCGACGACGATGGGTGCATATGTGCAGGGACGTCGAAGGGTGATGGTTCACGGTGACCATGTGCGACGGTTCAAAATCCTTTCATGGTTGATTACTCGAAAACAAAATTTGTAAATAAGCTGGTTTTTTAGATCTACAAATCCATGATTGTACAAATTGTTGACTCATAGATACTTATTTCTATGAAATTTGTTTTATCAGAGTCCACAACAAAGAAGCGATCATTGTTTTGGCGAAAAACACAAAACAAAATTGTAGTCATCTACGCCTAGAGTCAACTATAAAAAAATGGTAGTTAACTATATTGTTCCCAGTGTCAACTATAAAAATTGGATAGTCAACTTTAATTTTTCCGAAGTCAACTAAGTTTTATTGGCCAAGAGCTTGAAGAATTTCGGATTCTTAAAAGGAGTTGCAAGAAAATGGATTATTAGTAACTCAATTATTAATAAAAATTGTGTTTATTCATACATGTTAATAAAATTTAATTAACAAATTCGATGTCAATATTAAATAAGGGTATAACAGGAAAATAACAATATGAAGATATTACAGATATTCAATTATCAAATGGACTTAATTGTTGACCAGTCAATATTCAGACACAATCCTTATCCATCTAGAAACGCATTCAGCAACATTCAGACACAATTATTATCCATTCAGACACGCATTCAACATTTATCACTTCATCATGTCAAACGAAGCCTTAGTGTATACGGGTTTAAAATTACAAAATAGCCGTGTTAAATAACTTATTTCTCCATATATAATAATTCAAATGTGAAATAAGAAAGTAAAACATTTGATTCCCTACTCTTTAATATTTCCTAAATAGAACCACAAGTTTGTGTTATTTATACAGTTGGCCTGCTTTTCATTTTATTGACACTACTTTCTATAATTATTTCCTCTTCTAAATTTTTTTCATTACAAAAAACACATTTTTTATAATATGGATTCATGGGTCATTGCAATCGTTGTTTTCTTGTTCTTATACATGGAAGTTAAAACCGTGTTGATGGAATAAGGGCCAATTCTGCTTGGGCCTAAATAATTGTACTTTGGGCTTGTGGGAATTTTGGGCCTTCAGAATAGCAAGGGTCCAGAAGAGAGAATCCACTTAAAAATAGACAAGACAGCTGGTAAAAGATGTCGAGAATAAAGCATTAAAGGAATATTGAAGCATTAATTGCTGGAACGAAGTATTAAAGTCCTCCATCCCAACCTTTAATGCTCTGAAATTCCCATCACATTGAAGGCCCATCATAGCATTAAATGCTCATAAAGGTAAAACTAAGAATAGCTCGTCTTCCTCAGGTAAGTGAGACGTCGCCGGCACAAATGGGTACCTCGGCTAAAAAGTTACCTCGGCAGGAAGAAGCTCTACCTTGCTAAGAGGGGAGATGGAGAAGTGATGATATGATCTAGCCATGCATCGAAGTTAATACCGAGCTAACTGGAGTGCAAACTCCAATTATGCATGCTGATGAAGTTGGTGATGCAATACACGAAGATTATCTTGTTCCTACACAGTGCCATGAAGGTGTATATTTCAGTTTAATTATTGATGGAGTAGGTTGTACTAATGCAACTAGTTATACTTCAATGGGAATGTTGAGTGTATCAACTTTGGATTATTCTAGACCATATAAGCTACAGCTGTTTGAAGATGATCCTGAAAGATGGTTTCTATATGCTCCTTTTTATATATGTCACTCGAGGACGTTTCCTTTTAAAGAGGGGGAGTATGATATGATCCTACCAAGCTCAAAGATGAAGAATTTGAAGAAGCACAAGCGTAGGAGTTTAAAGAGGCTATTCGAGTTTTCCTTGGAGAAGAAGGGCTTGAATCGGATGTTTGAGATTTCAATGGTTTGGAATTGGAAGAACAGGATGAGAAGAACTAGTTGGATAAGTCGAATTTCATGCATCCCGAAAGTCCCGTGCGATTCTGGCAGTGTTTAAGTCGAATTTCATGCATCCCGAAAGTCCCGTACGATTCTGGCAGTGTTTACCATTAGGCTTATATCTCTCTCATTCGAAGTGTATTTAAGGTGATTCAAACTGATTCCAAAATCTAACGGAAAGATCTACAACTTTCGTGTCTGGACTAAAGAGAGATTCGGAGTCGAACAGTGTCTAAATCGAGTTAGAATTTTTTGGACGTGCACATCCAACTAGCTACACGAGTTTAGAAGGGTGATCGAGAAGTCGACTTGAAGATCAAGTTATCTAATTTATTTATGCACGTTTCAATATTAGGATTTAATATATTTGTATTATTTTAGAGTTCTTTATGCCTATGATTTTCTTATTTATAGGTTTCGTTAAGAGTTTAGGTAGGAATCTTTTTCCTTGTGAAAAAAGAGTCTTTTTAGCACTTATTAGTAGGTTGTTAATTTCGCCTATTTTAATGGACGAATTTTAGTGATATTTTGAGTATTTAGTGAGATTAATTCTCATTCGCTGTTCTACAGCAACCTCGGGATTTTACAAGTGGATTCTTATAACTTTCTTAGCGATATAATATTGGTTTATGGTGTTTTATATCCACGGGTCAATATTCCTCCTTGATAATAATGATTTCTAGCTCTTTATAGCTATGGGGTCATTATTTCTTGCTTCCGCCACTTTCATTCCTTTGTTTTAGGATGTTTTCGATCTTAAGGTATTTTGGTCTCGTAACAAATTCTACAAGGTTTGTATCAAGTGATGTGAAGAGATAGATGTCAAGCTAGGGTAGGAAGTCGGCTATAGGCTTAAGATAATATATATATATATATATATATATATATATATATATAAATACTCCTCTTATGTTTGTAAGAAAGCAAGTGATCATAACTACAATAACTATTCTCTTAAAAACTAGTCCTCTTATTATTCCATAAAAACTCACAATTAATATAAGCAGTTTGGCTTTGTATAAAACCATAATTAATTGTAGTGTCTTTTAGATTCCTCCATCAAATGGCGCCGTATGTGGGAAACTTTGACTTATAGGCGTTAGTTGTTTGTGACTTTATTTCTCTCGGTTATTTCATGTTATATAGGGTTTTACGAAAGTGTAATGGCTGCTGAGAATGAGAATTTGGAGGCCCGCCGACGGGAGGAGCCCCCCATGTCTGCGACACAGTTGGTTCACGTGGCTCTGAGGGGAGAGACCTCGGGAGCGCCATAGATATTAACCTCATAATTATTTTTGCTGCTTAATTCCCTGGAATGAACCCAAAAAGCACAAATAAATACAAATAATAAATTGCAAAAATTACAAGTAACATTTTGTCCTCGCCTTTCAGAAATGACAACTCATCGGACTAATTAACGTTCTCCGTATTTAACTATCAATGATTATGCTGATCGTAAAATAAATGTGCAGTAATAACCTACCTCTAATCTCTATCCCCCAAGCCAAAATAAATCGATGACAAAAGTGTAATCGGGTACTTTACAAGTCCCTTTCACCTCACATTCCATGGTTGATAATACTCTCTTAACTTGAGGAGGTTTACCCAAAAATACAAGTCATACCCGCAAAATCACATTTTCTTCTCCAATCTTAATAATAATACGTTAAAAAAGTCTGGAAAAAGAAACGCGCTTACCAGGTATGTGTATGTATATATAATTTATGAAGAATCTTAAATGAAATGACTCGCCATGAGAAGTTGTGGAGGCATTTCTTTTTCTTCTTCAATTTCCAAAGAGGCCTCTTCCCTCATTTCCTCGACCCTTTTATCCCATATTCCATCTATTAACTTCCACGTATCATCACTTACGATTTGAGTCTGCATTTTAAAAAAAAAATTAGCGTGAAAAAATATATCGAAGATGCATGTAAAACAAAGAAGGAGCAAATGCCTGCATAAGGGAAATCAAATAGGCAGAAAAAGGATGTGATAAATGTCGTTTCAGTTTTAATAATGATGTTTCAACTTCAATCACAATTTTACACATTTTCAAGGCTGAGGTTGGCGGAACTCTAGTAATGAAATTTATAGTTCTTTGAGTTAGCTTTCTAATCCAACTTGAACCACCAAGATTGGATGTCGGATAAGAAATATACGCATGAACTAATGAACATTGCCCACAACTTTGATGTTTTGAGTTATTTAAAATTCAAAATATAACTCCTTCATGCATAACTTTGTCACCCGACATCCAATCTAGATGACTCATGTTAGATTAGAAAGATAACTCAAAGGACTATAAATTTCATTGTTTTGAATTTTTGCCAAAATCAGACTAGGAAAGTGTCCAAATCACGTTTGAAGTCAAAACGGTATTAGTAAAATTGAAACAGCATTTAAAGTTTCAAGTAGAAAAATTATAGTCAATAAATAATAACCTCCATGGGACGAGGTGCACCAAAGGTAGCGAACCCGACATTTCCAGGTGCGAAAGTGACTCTCCCGGGAAGAGAAACACCATTCAGTCCCCAACGTCCGGCGTGTATAAGGGCCCCGTATTCATCCAATTGCCTCACACTAGCCTGGTAAATAAATAGCACAACATCAGCTTCTAATGAATATAAAAATAGACAAGATCAACTAATTTAATCTTCAATTATATAATCAGTTGATAAGTTCATACAGGCTTTTAGACAAAAACAGAAAAGCATTTAACAAAGCTTACTTGAGGTATTCGAGGTGAAGTGTTATAAAATTTCCAGATTTCATCTGCTTTTATCTCTCCCTTCTCGAGTAGAACATCTGGTCGAAGTGAAAGCACAGCAACAAAGGATGACTACTATACAAATTCTATAAATATACGAAAATGCGATTAACGCAATAAAAAGAGCTCGATAAGAAATGCAAAGAGTAAGAACGAGCCTGTAATGTTCTCCACAGCAGGACGGTATTCTCTTATTACAGATGAGCATTTCTCCACGGCAAAACGCATGTACTCTTCCCTAAGTGCCTCAAGTTTGGCAGCTAGCTGAAAATGATGATTATATAAAACATTTTAACAAACTACTGACAATATTAATTAGAAAAATAGAAACAGAGTGACTCATTATCCAAAAATGGTGATGTCAGCCTATACTCACATTAGGGACAAGGTCGTTTTGGTATCGGTAAAAGGCCTTGCCAAAAGCAGTCATTCCTGTTTGCAGAATCAAGAATTCAGCCCGTCTCGAAGCTTCTAATGTTGCTTTTGCAGAAATCCAGCACAGATTATCAACTCCAAATATCTCTTCTTCAATTACTCTGGCTGCAAATTTGAACTATCAATGCCATAGCAAAGTAATAAATTAAGAAAAAAAACAAACTAAAAAAAGAGAAAGAAGTAGAAATACTATTCAACATAACAAGGAAATGAGAATAATCAAGGTTTCAATTTTCCCTTTCCTATTGTTATCTGATCCTTGTCTTTAATTCCAATCCAGCGAACCAAACATTAGATAAGCACCTAACGCTCAATAAAAAGGATAACAAAAAAATCAAGAAAGCTTGCCCTAGAACACTGTATAAAAGACATGACTTCATTGACATGTCAGAAATCAAGATCTAATTATAACTTTGAATTCTACTTTGAGATGAAGAATGTAGTAGATGAGAAATTTGTAATCGAAAATTTCCACTCGAAGTTTCTCAAGTAAGAAAGAAGAAGGTCCCAAGAGATAATGCCGGAAAATACACACAATTTGCATAAAGAAAACAACAGGTTTTTATACATTAAGAAAAAGGGTGGGGGCACCTACCCCAATCAAGACTGTCGATTCACAGTTCAAGTAATGAAGTAATCATTTAACTTCCAAATATACCGATCTTAAAAAATTATGGTATCGTGTTTCAAAAACATTGCACAAGTCAAATTTTGCTAAGATACCATTCTCTAGATACTTATCCACATGTATTATAAAGGTTTTCAATAACATTCAGTGATTTCAACATCAAGGCCACAGAGTATTTTTTTTCTTTTTGTAACTTACGAGCACATGCGCGTACTATGGCCTCCACAAAATCTGCCTTTCTCTGAAATACCCTGCCCGATTTCTCCTCGTACCGCATATTTGGCTGACTACGTATGGAATTAATATCTGTCTGTAAAATGCCAAAAATATTATCAAAAAGACCAAGCTGGTAACTTTATTTCAAATTCTATTTAATAAATCATACATCAGTGAAAGGACGGTAAGGATCTGGAATATGACAAGCAAGAACAGCAACAGCTGCCTCTCGATATGCCAATCTCAGTTTCAACTCTTCGGGTACTTCAGTACTATCTTCTTGCCCTGTTTCAAAGGTGCCTTTTTGCTGCAATATTTTATTATTAACAAATGATATGAGTGCGCATTTCTAGGAATTTTACAAAAATAATAAATAATAAAACACACACACACACACTCACCCGTTTCAAGGCCTCGAGAAGTTCTTCCCGACCTATGAAGTCCAAGTCCTTTCTAGCAGTTAAAATTCCAGCTTCGTTCCTGTTTTAGTCATTTCATCAGCTGCTCTATATAATGGGGATTTAAATTAGATATGAGCTTAAGTATTATTCCTATTTACAGTATATTTTGCAATTCTGCGCCAGTAAAATCTTCTGTATTTTCTGCAATTTCCTCAAGTAGAGTGTCCTTCTCTTCCTCAGACCGAAAGTACTTATTTCGAGCGTGCACCTGTTATGTTTCGCAATAAGAAATACCATAAACGAATAATTATTTTCTTGATATTTTGAAGTCTACGAGGCTGAAATTTACATACCTTCAGTATGGCGAATCTACCATCTTTTGATGGTAATCCAACACGAATAATCTTGTCAAATCGGCCTTTTCTTAGAAGAGCAGGATCAAGAATATCCAGCCTGTTTGTTGCACCGATAATCAATACCTGAAAAACAGAACCTTTCCAAGTTAACTACGGAAAAACAATCACCCATATCCGAAAGAGATTAAGAAATCTAATCACTTCACACCTGTGAAGTTGATACTTTAAAACCATCCATTTCAGTCAGTATTTGAAGTAGTCCTTGTTCTCTTTCAGCACCACCCTGGTTAAGCAAATAGGTACAGAAGCGCATTTTTTAAAACTTGACAAAGAGAATATCAACTGTAATAACAGAATGTATCTTGCAGAATTTCATTATTGCACTGCAGAAGAAGAGATATATTTAAATGCACATGGAAAAATAAGCGAATAATATTCATACCCCACCAATATCAGGTCCACCACGTTTACTACCGATTGCATCTATCTCATCAATGAATATTATTGAAGGGGCAAATGACCTGGCACTAGCAAAAAGATCCTTCACACGAGAGGCAGCCACACCAACAAACATCTGAACCAAAACGAAAGTTTAATTTATTAACTGTTGCATAGAATCTTAGGCCTCGTTTGGTTGGGTTAGCCATGATTAACTAAACAACTGGACTTTGTTTGATGTTTTGTAAACCCAATAACTTCTAAGGTCGACCCAAAAATATTACATTATCATGCCTTTCAGGGAACATTTTTGTTGGGCCTTCCGCAGTCCAATAAAATGATTTGGTTTTCATTAGATTATGTAATCTTATCTTGGCTAATCCTATCTTGGCAACCAAACGAGGCTTCGAAAACTATTTATTCAAACACTACACATATATTCATATGTGCTTAGGGTAGATTCTTCTACTTGGAAACATTTATTCTACAAGATAGAAAAATACGTGCTAGTATACTTAAGTGTCAACCATTTAACTGATTAACTGGACAAAAAAAATCTACATCTGCAAATCTGATTGGCTTATCGAAGAAAGATTAGTTTGATATAAATTGCAATTCCATCCAACGAAAGAGCCCTTAATTGTACCTACATTGTCTCAATAATCTATTAGGAGATAGAATATTTTTACTATTTTTATTACGAAAAAGAAGCTCACCTCGACAAAATCTGTACCGTTAGCAGCAAAAAATGGAAGACCTGCCTCACCAGCTATAGCTTTTGCAAGAAGTGTTTTACCAGTTCCGGGTGGACCATGAAGAAGGACTCCTTTCGGGCAATAGATACCTTTGTTTTGAAACTCCTCGTCGTTTTTCAGTATTCGAACAATCTCTTGTAACTCTCTCTTGATATATTCTTGGCCAGCAAAATCATCAAATGTAACACCTGTTTTTTCTTCAGCTGATATGAACTTTGCCCTGGCATCAAAGTAAAGTTTAAACGGATCAGAATAAAATTGTATGGATAAAAAAAGAAAAAATCACAAGTGAACTTACCGACTCTTTCCTAATGAGCCAAGGCCCTGGCTCTTGAGTGGGGGCAGTGTCGTCTTTTTAGGAGGGGTGCCGAGATCGCAAGGTATTAATTTACCGTAAATTGGTCTGCACATATTATCAATCCAAACATATAGAGCAACAGAAAGCGCTAGCCTCATTGACCAAACAACTGCAGTTGCAACAGTTGAATAAACTTCTCCAGGTACACTATTCACATTTAAGACATTGACATTTACAAGCTGTTGATGCAATTTTCGCCAAACATCGTTCCAACAGTCGATTGGCATTTGGTCGACCACGTGGCGTCGGAAAATGATTTCTTTCTTTTTGTCACCTTCTTGACCGACATTCTTCCCTTCTTTATAATAGGGTAGAATCACTGTTTTTCAGACAAAGAAGTAAAACAAAAAAAAATCATAAGAAACCAAAAAGCTAATGAGGGTTTCAAAGTTCAAACAAACATGACAAAGATTGTGAAAACATGAGAAAAAAAAATATTTAAAAATATACTAATATCTCGTTTGTACACTTCATGTTCAAATCAAATCACAGAATATGCATAAATATAAAAACGAGAAACAAGAAAACTTCCAACCTGAGACAGTCTGCCCGTAATTAGAGTACTCCATAAATTGGACATTGTTCGAATCAAGAAGTCGTTTGAAGTCACTATAGCCTATGCCGTGAGAATTCTCCGGGTCCCACTCAGTTCCTTTTAGTTTTCCCTTTATAGTCAAAAGTACTCTGCTCCATTCTGAAGCCATCATGAGCTGCCTCTCCAACTGAACATTTGCCTTCCTCTCGAATTCCTCTAATTGGTTTACTCGTTCTCTCTCTGCTTCTTTCAAACTCTGGCAATCTCCATCATCAATTTATATCATCAGGCAAGGTCATCTCTCTCATAAACGTTAAAAGATCGAAAAACGTAAACAAACTATCCAGTCAGATTAAAAGACCTCTGTTTTCAAAACCATATTAATTCCCAAAAAATCGACACTAAGTGCTTCATTAGTAACACCCGTAGGAAACAATATATCTATACGACTTCAAGATAAAATAACTCGGAAATACCAGAAGAAACAACTTTGTTTAAACTTTAAAGTACAAAAAGGCAAACGTTAAGTGCATGTAAACACATGCATAAAGAGATTGAAAACAATCCATCACCCAATCTCCACTTCAATATTCTTCAGTAAAGCAAATTAAAACAAATTCTGATTACGCAATTTACCGATTCAAGTGATAAAGCAAATTTTTGCTAAGGTAACATGAAACTCTACTTGCATTGTTGGTGTCATACTTTAAAGTGTAGATTCCCAAATGCCAAGACCCAAAATTCAAAAAAAAAAAAAGCGAAGAAATTGAGATGGAACCCACCTCGAACAGTTGGTGGGCAGACTCAGTTTCCACTTCCACTGAGTTGGAACTCGGACTTGGCGCAGCTTTGCAACCTTTAATTCTCAGTCTTCCCACATCGTTGTGGAGATGTAGTACACAGGTGCGTGACTGGAACCGCAAAATTGAAGCCGAGAAGGGTCTAATTAGCAAAAAATTACGCCGCCTATCACTTCGAGCAAACAGGGTTTTAGAACAAGGGGAAACGGACAAGGGTTTTAGCGATAAACTATCGAGAAATGGGTTCGAAACAGTGGAAAAGCTCATCTCTTTTAATTCTGATTTCAGCAAAACTATTTAATCAATCAATCAATCGTGTAATTGCATTATCTTTTCTGCGGAATATCCTTCCTCCATTGGCAGAAGAGACCTCTTTGAATAGAGCATTTAGACCAGCTTCCTCATTGTACCCTGTCTCATTAGCCCAGCTCTTAAAATCGCGTTTTAGCTTGAAAACGTTTTTTGTTGCATATTTGTATTTAGGGTAAATTCCACTTTACTCCCTCATACTTTGGCTGGATATCACTTTACCCCCTCGTACTTTGGTTGGATATCACTTTACCCCCTTGTACTCTCAATTGCATCGATTTGCCCCCATGTACTTTGGTTCGATATCACTTTACCCCCTGCTACTCTCAATTCATCTATTTGCCCCCTTGTACTTTTGTTCGATATCACTTTACCCCCTTCTACTCTCAATAGCATTGATTTGCCCCCCTTACTTGAAAATTTATCTCAATGTGGCCATCGCCGTTAGTTTTCAGACATTTGACCTTAACACCGTTTGATCTAAGTTTGAAAATTACAAAAAAGCCACCCCTCTCAGTTTAAATAATTATTAATAAAAAAAATTGTGGCTGGCGTCGTGGACTATATTTTCTCGCTGTCTTGAATTTTTTATTTTTTATTTTTTGTTGTTTTTTATTTTTTATTTTTTTTAACTTTTTTAATAATTATTTAAACTGGAGGGGTGACATTTTAGTATTTTCATACTTAAATCAAACGGTGTTAAGGTCAAAGGTCTGAAAACTAACGGCTAGGGCCACATTCAGACAATTTTTTCAAGTAAGGGGGGCAAATCGATGCTATTGAGAGTAGAAGGGGGTAAAGTGATATCGAGCAAAAGTACAAGGGGCAAATCGATGAATTAAGAGTAAAAGGGGGTAAAGTAATATTGAACCAAAGTACAAGGGGTAAAATGATATTCAACCAAAGTACAAGGGGGTAAAGTGGAATTTACCGTTGTATTTAATTGGACCACTCAATTATCCAATAAACATTCAGGATGCAATAAAAAAAGGGGCTTATTTTATACGTGACAATTTGTTGTAGGTCTCTCTATATTATAATTTATGTCTATAAATTCAAAAAAAAAATGTGTATTTTAATAAATTAATTATATTCATTGTGGCCAAAATAACCCTAATTAAATCAAAATTAAATCCCCAAAAATCTCTTTATCAAAACTAATTCCCCCAAACATATCTCTCTTCCAAATTTAACTAAAAACCAAAATCAAGCCCGTATGGGTGTAGCTCAAGTGGTTCCGGAGATGGTAAGTTGGTACAAGGTCCTAGGATCGAATCCTGGCAGCCGCAATGTGTCAACTCCAATATGGTTGGTTCCTTGTGGGTTGGGTTGTGCATTGGTTAGGTTGGTTAAAAACCAGCCATAAAACCAACCCAACACATCCAACCAACTTTGGTAAATATTGGAACCCGTTATCCTAATTTACATGGGTTGGGTGATGGTTGAAAACAAATTTAGTGGATCGGTCGATGGTTTGGTTGATGGATCATCCATCTAAATATTTTTTTTTTAATATTTTATTAGTTGTTACAGTGTTATATCTTTTATAAATTAAATATGCCTAGCTCAACAATATTCAAATAAAAAAATCAAAACATTAGAGGCCACATGTATTGCAATTAAACATAAATGGTTCAACAAATAAGAATCGTGTAAATAGTTAGGCTATATGTCTTAAAATTAAAATAGTTCAAATTAGATACTTAGGTTATATTTATTGTTTTTAGGATTTTGGTTACTATAGACTATTTAATAAATGTGATATAAAATAGAAATTTAAAATTGAAAATATTAAATATTTTAAAATAAAATTAATAAATAAAGTTCGTTGCCCGATATTACCCGACTAACCAACTTTTTAGCATATTAGAAACCATTATCGACCCAACTATACATGGGTTGGTTGAAATTATCGACCCAACTTCAATGGGTCGGATGATGGTTGATTATCCGTCACAAATTATGGGTCGAAAATGGGTTGGTTGGTGGTTAAAACCGATCAATGCACAACCCTACTTTTGGGCACCAAGTCCGGGTCCGCTACCTTAACGGGCCGGTGAGTTACCATGATTTACATTCCTCCATCAAATACTTGTCGGGCCAAAGAATGGGGGCCCTGGGGCCGAGGGATTTCGCCTTTTTTGGTACAAAAAACAAAATCAATTCGTAAAAAAAAAAATACTTTATTGTACAAACTCATACTTTAAAAAAATCACAGATGTCGCGCCACCCCCGCTGATTCTATGAACTGCAAATAGCAAACTGAAAATTAGAATTTGTATTATTGAATTGCAAATAACAACTACATATGATTTCGGCAAACAAATAGTAAACTGAATAAAAAATATATCCAAATTTTGCATTATTGAATTGCAAACAACAAACTACCTAGATTTCGCAAAAATGCAAACAACAAAGTAAAGATTAAAAAAAAAAAAGAAAGAAAGAAAAAAATTGGGTTAAACTCAAGCCAAATTCATCTTTTGGCATACCCCCTCGAGAGGCAAAACTACTATACTGCCCTAATATGCAATTTTCGGTCAAACTGCATTCAGCATTTCTGGTATTGCATTTAGCATTTTCGATGATTTATTTATATATTTATAATTTTTTTAACCCGTTTGTTTACTTTATTATTTTTTATTTATATTTTTTTTAAATATTACTTTTTTTATTTTTTCTAGAAAAAAGTTAAGTTTTTTTAAATCAATATGTTTATTGTACTTAAAATAACTACACGTAACTGTAGTAAACTATAGTCATTCGTAGTTATATTCATTTTTTTTGTTTACCTCATATTTTTAGTCGATCAATAATGTACACACACAAATATTAACTTATACAAAAAGAAATTCATAAACCTCAACAATAAAAATTTACAATTTCAATATTTATATTATAAATAACTTGATAACCAACATTAGTGTTTTCGTATGAAGAGGGGTGGGCATGCAAATTCAGCCCACATTAGATGCTGGGCCTGATTAAGGAAACCCAAACCCACTACCAGCAGCCGCCTATATATTATATATTTTCTTCCAAAACCGCTCTCTCCGGATTTCAGGAAAACCAATAGTCGAGGACGAACATAATTTCTCTGCGGATTCTTGCATCTACGACTTTTTTTTTTCATCTTTCCATACTTTTTTCTTTTCATTGTTTTCTGTCCGATTTATTTACTTTTCTGTTTCGCTTCCCCGAGTACTAAATTCTAGGGTTTTGGGGGTTGGTTTTCATCATTAATTTATTTATTTTTCTTTTTGTCGGTTGGTGTTGTTTACGTGTGTTTCTGACAATGTTTGTTTGCAATTAAATTTGCAGGTTGAAAGATGGAGGGTGCTTCGACAATATTGCCTCCTCCGGAAATAAGAATGATCGTAGACAAAACTGCTCGGTACGTGGCGAAGAATGGACCAGGGTTCGAGCAAAGGATTATTGCAAGCTGTCAAGGGAATCCGAATTTTAGCTTTCTACATTCCAATCATCCTTACCATGCTTACTATAAGCACCGTCTATTGGCCGCCACCAACTAACTAACTAGCTTTCATAAGTACACACTTTTCTTGTTATGAGTTTTTTCTTTTAATTTCCCTATTTCAATTAGTGTTTTAAGCATTGTTTATTATATCAGGAACTTTTGCATTATTTTTGCTTTAGTAAAAATATAATTTGTAGTAATCATGAATTGATGATATGGTTTTGAAGGTACATGGAAGTTGAAGCTGCTCTCGACTCGACCACAAATCTTGATTACATTAGTATTTTTGCTTAATAATAAATAAAAATATATATGACAGTTTTCTTCTCATTGTTTCTTGTGTAATCCACAGTTTATTATGGTTGTATAGGGTTAAATACTTAAATCCTACAATGATGGATTGACATAAGAATGACTAATGAACGATTAATTGACGAGCGATGAGACAAGTTTCAGTTTAGGTTTAGTATGCTAATTATGAACTTTGAGTGGTTGAATGTATTTCTTTTGACATTGGGAGGATTACACAGCTGAGGCGAACGAGATTTAAATTACATAGCATATTAGATTTCCATACTCATTATCTTTTTTTTTTTCATTTATTATTTTATACACTTTTTGCTCGTTGGATATTAATCCATTGTAGATCTGAAAAGGAATATTTCTTCATCTTTCAATTTTTTTTTTCATTTGTAATCTTGTTTCAAATGTGAGGCAAATTTGTTAATTCTTGGGTCGGGCTTTCTTTTCATGCAGCTCGAAGGAGAAAGCCATGCACTCTCAGGTGAGTCTCTTTGACAACTTTCGAAAGACAGTACTTTCCAAAACTATAGCTACTGCTCGTCTCTGGGAATTTATGGGTGCAAAGCAGCGTAATTATATGCAATTGAGCCGTATTTGCATCTCAATCTCCAAATCTTGATGCCAATGGCTGGCAGAATCCACAAAATGAGTACATTGAAGGAAAAAGGCGTAAAGTTTGGCATTGATGAGGCTCTGAAGTTGTTGAATTTTCTGATGTCTTTCTCAAGTTTCAACTATAAAAGTTCAAAGGAACCTGATGTAGGTATCATATTTTGAATTTTACTAATTAAATCTCTCTCTCTCTCTCTCTCTCTCTCTCTCTCTCTCTCTCTCTCTCTCTCTCTCTCTCACTCACAAACACACTTTTTTTTTTTTTTTTTCTAAGGCAAAAACCAATAACTTGATTTGTAATGATTTTATTCATTGGCAGCAGTACGGTCAGTATGGCCCTTGAGGTGCAATATATGGTAAAATGAGATTAGCCAAGATAAGATTAAATAATCTAATATTTTATTGGAGTTTGCAACGTCCAACAAAAAAAAAACTCATTAGAAGGCAAGATAAATCAAGATAATTATTGGAAATACCAAACATCAAATTAAGTCCAACTATTTAGTTAATCATGGTTTATCTTAGCAATCAAATTAAGTCCAACTATTTAGTTAATCATGGTTTATCTTAGCAATCAAATGAGGCCCAACAGTTTAGTTTGTTGTTTATTTAAAAATAAAAACAAAATTCTGCATTAACTATAAGGGGAAATGAGGGATAACCCCCTAGTTTTAGAAATATATAGGTGTAGGTCCTATGCATTTTTCTTATCTAGTCAAAAACCCAAATTATAATCTTAATTAGTGAGACCCCCCTAAACAACTTAAAATACATGTTTTACCCTTTTAATTCTTCAAACCCTAGTTTATCTCCCACCCACTCATCAGCCGTTACATCTCTCCTCCCTCTCTCTTCTTCTCTCTCGATCCACCACACCCATACGACCACCTCTGCTCCTCTCCCAATCTGCGCCGCCCACAGCCGCTGCTCCCTCCACCGTCTTCCGCCGACGTTGTTTCCTCCGCCGTCGTCCGCCGCTACTGCTCTCTCCGCCGTCGCTGCTCCCGACGCTGCTCCCGATGCTGCTTCCAACGCCGCTGCTCCCGACGCTGCCGAAGCCGCTGCTCCCCGCCGCCGCAGCCGCTGCTCTCCGCCGCCGTTTGTATATATCTGGTATATATATATATATATATATATATATATATATGGAGGAATACATACCTGTATTCAATGGTACACAACATTACTGATTGAACTTTTTAATTAGGGTTCCTGAACTTTTTAATTAGGATTACGTTCATTGATAAAAAAAATCAATTGATTTGCAGTCAATAATTTGCTATTTGTTTTTCAATCTTTTTAATTTTAATTTTTAATAGGAATTTTGGCCACTTATTTCAATTTTTTTATTTTTTAATAGAAATTTGGCTATTGATGTCCTGTTAAACATTCTGCTGCTAACACTTCAAATATCATCATTTTGTCACAGGTCTTGGTGTTCGAACAACTTCTATGCAATAATTTTTGCCGAGAGGACATGGTGCAGTTCTTTTGCAATCGATAGATTGAAATTGTTGTTGTGTTGAAAAGTAAGATTTGAAGCTATAAATACAAACTACACTATATCTGACTATAAGTCACATGTGGTCATATACATGTAGTCATATATAGTCACATAGTAGTCATATATAGTCACGTGTAGTCATATACATGTAGTCATATATAGTCACATATAGTCATAGACATGTAGTCATATATAGTCACGTGTAGTCATATACATGTAGTCGTATATAGTCATGTGTAGTCATATATAGTCACGTGTAGTCATATACATGTGTAGTCATATATAGTCATGTGTAGTCATATATAGTCACGTGTAGTCATATACATGTAGTCATATATAGTCATGTGTAGTCATATATAGTCACGTGTAGTAACTCGTAGTAATATATTGTTATATATAAGCTATATAAGTTATGTGTTTTTTCTGATGTACAGTGATGTTGATGATTGTGTTTTTCCAATTTTTTGTTGGGTATTAATTAATTTATAATATCAAGATTAAATTGTGAATTTTTACTTTTGGTGTAGATGAAGTTTTTTTTATATAATCATATGTAATATATATACAAGAGTCATGTCTACTCAATTTCAATACAGTAAATTTATCAAAAAATTGAAACAAAATTAAAAATTAAAAATTTTAAAATTTAAACTTTTTAAAAAAATATTAAAATTAAAAAAATTTAAAAAAATATTAAAATTAAAAATTACAAAAAATTAAGCAATTTTAAAAAATTAAAAAAATAAAAAAAATAAAAAAATAAAAAAATAAAAAATACAACAGAGGTATATATAAAAATAATAATAAAATAAACATTTATAATTTTTTATTAAAAAAATCTGAGAATGTGATAAATGCAGGTCTGAATGCTAATTGCAGTTGGCCATAATGCTGAATGCAGTTAGCAAAAATGCTGAATGCAGTTGAACAAAAATTAGATATAAGGGCACAATAGTCCTTTTGCCTCTCCAGGGGGTTATCTCAAAGAAAGAATTTTAGGGGTGGACCTATCCCTATATATTTTTCATATTAAGGGTGTATATCAAATGGACCCTAACTATAATGTCCGATTCAAATGTTTTTATTTGGCTGGAGCCGAGATTCCACCTGATTCATCTCAATACAAAGTATTTTGTCTTGGGATTCACATTGAGAAATCATCCAGACATTTTGTTTTAACGTAACAATAAATTAAATTTGTTAATAGTTGTTCTTGATCATTTATTCTTGTAATCTTCGAATACATATATATCCTAGATTATTACAACATGCAGGATCTTGATTCCGCCGGCTAAGGGACAAATCGAGAAAATTTAACATATATCCTCAACCTATATATATATTAATATATATATCCAATAAACACAAAAAAAAAAAAAAATTAATAAGAAGGGCAGAAGAATGAATAGGGTTCTACTCCTTGTGTTGTTTGTCACTTTTCAGGCACTTAGTTGTGGTAAGTATTAATATTAGCATAAATAACCTCCTTAATTATATGATGCATTTTCTTCACCATATAACAGTAATCTAAATAGTACTAATTGCAATCAATTAATATAATTATGTTTGAAACAATTTCAGATGCAAAGGTGATGATGGAGTACATCGGAGCCACCGGAATCCCCATCGAATTATCCGACGTCCCGATAAAGGAAGGCATAGATTTCCATTTCATCCTCAGCTTCGCAATCGACGCAAACCCATCCGGCACCCCACAAAACGGCATCTTCTCACCTTACTGGGCCGCCACTCTGACGCCGGACGCGGTGGCCGCCACCAAATCCCTACATCCAAACGTCAAAGTCCTGGCCAGCCTCTCCGGCTGGAGCCTGGGGGGCAAAACCCTCTTCTGGTACAGCCCCCCAGACAGAAACCTATGGATCTCCAACGCATTCTCGTCGCTAAAATCCCTCATCCAAACTTACAACCTCGACGGAATCGACGTAGACTACGAGAAATTCCCGGACAAGAAAAACAGCGACGACAGCTTCGCTTACTGCATAGGAGAGCTGATCACTTTCTTGAAGAACCAAAGCTTGATCACGGTGGCCACGATCGCGCCTTTTTACTCCACCGTGTCGCCGTACATGAGTCTCTACGAAGGGTACGAGGATGTGATAGACTACGTGAACTACCAATTCTATACCGACAAAGTGAAGACACCGGAGAAATACGTGGAGGTTTTCAGGAACCGGACGTTGGAGTTCGACGGAAAAATTTTGCCTAGCTACGAGGTGAATGGGAGAGGGATTCAAGGTGATGCATTCTTCGAGGCGTTGAGTTTGTTGGAAGATAATGGTTTTAGTGTGAATGGGGCTATGATTTTCTCGGCCGATGCTTCTTCCTCCGACGGTTACTATTACGAGACCAAAACACAGGAGTTCTTGCTCAATAATTCTACTAATTAATTAACTCGGAGTTTATTGCATTCGACACCTATGTATATAGGTGAATGTATTTTTCGATTTCGGAGTATCATAGTGTACAAATCGAACAAAAGCGAAAAATAGAAAAGTATTCCTATTATTTCATTATTCGTACAATGTACAATATTGGTACCGTATCGAAAATAGTTGGTACTATAGTAGTATTGAAATCTCAATATAAATATGATGTCATCTCTCTAATACTATAGTGTTTTTATGTATTTCCTTTTTCTTTTGTGTACCATAATATCTATAATTTTATTTGAACCATTTGTTTGTAATGCTTTATTTTAGGATTAATTTCATTATTGTATCCCTGTTAGATAATGAAATTGCAAACCCTTCCTCTCTTAGTTTGAAAATTGCCAAAACCTCTCTTGTTTGATGATTATGCTTACTTCGTTAGAGCAACTTCAATGGGAGATTTTAAAATGGAGCATTAAATTTTCATTTGATGCTTTATATAATACTTTGATACTCTTGAAAAAAAATTCACTCCAACCACATGTATCAAATAGATTATCAAATTTTAAGTATATGAAATTCACTCAAACCACAAATATCAAATAGATTATCAAATTTTAAGTATATGAATAATTATATTTTTAAATGTCACGTGTCAAATAGTGATAGGTTAATTGGGTGGTTATATTTTTGATACCTCATTTTTCAGGGAGCATTTTTGCACCTTGGGTTGGTTGAGTATCAAAATGATTCTCACTTTAATGCCCCCGTTGGAGGAGGATTTTTTAAATTTTGGAGTATCAAAGTGATAGTTTTTTAGTTTCATACCTTATTTAGTGCCTCAAATGGAGTTGCTCTTACCCTGCACTTATCAAAATGAAATTAAATACAATTAGTTAAAGTCAATTAGTAATTGTAAAACATGAGTATAATAACAATAAGTCAATAACAATGGTAATAATAATAAAAATAACAATGGTAAGAATAATAATAACAATAAAAATAACAATAATAATAATAATAATAATAATAATAATAATAATAATAATAATAATAATAATAATAATAATAATAATAATAATAATAAAATAATAATAATAATAATAATAATAATAATAATAATAATAATAATAATAATAATAATAATAATAATAATAATAATAATAATAATAATAATAATAATAATAATAATGGTAAATTCCACTTTCCCCTCTTATACTTTGGCTCTACATCACTTTACTCATTTCTACTCTCGATTGCATCGATTTGCCCCTACACTTGAAAAATTGTCTCAAATGAGTCCTCGACCTTTGACCTTACGACCATTTGGTCTAAGGTCTGAAAATCACAAAAAAACCACTCATCCCAATTTAAAGTATAATAATAAAAAAAAAATTGTGTTTGTCATCGTGGACTATGCTTTCTTGTTGTCTTGAATTTTTTATTTTATTTTTTTTTTTGTTTTTTTTTAATAATTATTTAAACTGGGAGGGATGGTGTTTTTGTAATTTCAGAGGTTAGACCGTTAATTTTAATTGTCCGACAACTGACATTGAGAGCTACATTGAGACAGTTTTTCATGTGCAAGGGCCAAATCGATGAAATCGAGAGTATGAGGGGTAAAGTGATACCAAATCAAAATATAAGGGGGGAAAATCAAAATTTACCCTAAAAAACTGCGTCAATCAACCAATGAGAAGTTAGCTTATTGGAGAAGTTTTTCTTTTCAAATACACACTTTCTCACTCCAAAACCTCGCCCTAGAGTCCCTCTATTTAAACCCTCGCCCAGCACCAAATTAGGCCCTTTCATTTACTGTTCTGAGTTTTCTTAGTAATCTACGCGTTTTTTTCTCTCTCGGCTTCTCCGGTTCGTCTTCCGTTAAGGTGTGTTTTGATTTATTCCTGTTTATTTCCGGGCACAATACGCCGTTTCCTCTGCAATTGTTTTCCTGGACCGTTGATTTTGGGGGGGAGGTGTTGTGTAGCGTTCTTCTGGTATTGGATTCTAGGGTTTCATTTCGATTTTGGGGATTTTGTCAAAACTATAATATGTCAAACAAAATTTTATAATATAGAATCCAATCGTTTGAGTGTTTCATCTGTATGGTTTTAATTTCTCTGTAATGGTGATAAGAGTCTATTGACGATATCATTTGATTCTTATATTATTGCGATTTTTCAATTTTTTTAGGTATTACTTTTTAAGGTAAATTTATTTTGTCTATTTTCCGAGTAAAATCTTTTGATGCTTCACTCCAACTGGGCTTTATCAATGTATTAAGTTTCTTATGAAATGGGTACTTTCTTTCTCCTTTTTATAGTTTTGGTTGTATGTTGATTGGGTTTTCATTATGGTGTGGCTTTTACTTGTTTCGGGTGGGTTTTTTTGATTTTATTTTCTGCGAAAGGCTTCTCATATAGTTAAAATGCTAGGGCTTGTTTTGCACACCAGATGTCTTTTGATTCCAGCAAGAAGTATCAGTGGTTTGTCTGGTGTGCTTTCCGTTTCATGAACCGGGAGAGACTTTGGTGCTCCAGAAAGTTATTGTTTCGACATTGGACTTGAGGGCCGATTGCAATTCGTTCACGTGTTCGTTTTTCAGTTCTTTTTTTTTGTTGGTTTATTTTTTTAGTGCCATAAAAAGGTTGTAAAGAAAAAAAATTGTTCGCGGGAAGTAAATTCAAGTATTTAGATTGTGGGGTGTTCTGTTGTCATGGCAAGGACATCCCTCCCTCCTGGATTTCGATTTCATCCGACTGATGTTGAGCTGATTATGTACTATCTCAAGAGGAAGGTCATGGGAAAGAAGCTTCTCTTTGAAGCTATTGCGGAAGTCAACATATACAAGTTCTCTCCATGGGATCTTCCAGGTCTACTATTTCTCTTGTTCTGCTTCTCTAATTGCACAATTACAGTTTTTGACTGCCAATTATTTGGTTCTTTGATTTAACATATGCTGGTTGACTTTTGAATACACGGACACATTTGAGTTATGATGTTTCTCTGATTTTCTGCAGATAAATCTTGCTTGAAAAATAAGGATCTTGAGTGGTTCTTTTTCTGCCCAAGAGAGAAAAAGTATGCAAGTGGAGTTCGGGTCAAGCGTGCTACTGAAAATGGGTACTGGAAAACTACTGGAAAGGATAGACCTATCAGTCACAATGACCGAAAAGTTGGATCGGTGAAAACCTTAGTTTTTCACTTAGGCACTGCACCCAAAGGGGAAAGAACCGATTGGGTTATTCATGAGTACAAGATCGTTGATGCCCAGTTGGCTGCAGCTGGAGTTCAGGTATATTTTGACCTCCTTTGGTTACAAACCTGATTGTTCATAAGACCGTACTGATATTTGACTGTAAAACTATTGGTTGAGCTAATATCTCATAAACCTAGTATTCATATTTTAGATTCTTGGTGCTCTATGAAAGTTGGTTGGATTAGTCTAATCATTTAAGTTTTTGTTATCTGAAACCCTTGTTCCTTTTCAAATGAAGTTCTGTCACAATGGCTTACCTGTACTTGAATTCTTATGTTTCGCAAGAATTACTATAAATCTGTATGGTAAACTCCATTGGTTTAGTATATGAAGTACTGTTAGGTTTCATAATGTAAGTTGGAACAATGTTTTTAATTGAGGTTGACCTTCTCTGCGACCTAACTTGTCTCTATTATCCACCCGTTTTCCAAGTTCAATACCAACGGCACTTTTAATGACCATTAATCCAATTAATAATTTTATGGACATTGGACTTTGTTTCCTTGGACATTCTCATTGTAGTTGGTTTCTTATGTTGAGTGTTAAACAAAATTTTCATTTCAGTATGTACTGGAATTCGAGCTGCATTATTGCTTATCAAAGTTACGTATGGTTAGATAGCAAGATTCTTGATAACAGTTATAACTATTTCTGTCTCGCAATTTTCCTTTTGTGCTATTTTTGTTGTTGCTAGACCTATAACAGTTCTCTGATCATTCATGTATTTTGCAGGACACATTTGTGCTCTGTAAAGTCTTCAAGAAGAATGGTCCAGGCCCAAAAAATGGTGCTCAATATGGAGCTCCATTTGATGAAGCAGAGTGGGCCGATGTTGAAGATGACACTCCAAACCAAGCTATGTCCTTGGCATCTGATGGTCCGTCAAGCTTGTTTACCCCTGGGAGCACGTCTGCATTGCTTGTTGAAGGAGGTCCTTCACCTTCAGCTGTTCATCCAACTCCAACTAGTGAGGTGCTTGTGGATGAGACTGATGATGAGATTGTTCGTCTGTTGGAATCGTTTACAGAAGATGACGCATTGCTTTCTAATGAGAATGGAATCAACCAGGTATGGGCATAGAAAATGCCTGTTTTGACATATTGTTGCTATGATATATATGCCTTAAGTTGAGTATTTATCCCGATTGATGTATTAATATTTCTTGTCAATTATGTAGCAACCGAGGCTTGGGTATCGTTTTACCGAACTGTTTCTTTACCGACTAATACCTGCCATCCTGTTAATGCTAAATATATGCATAGTCCTCTAATGGATAAATCACTTTAGTGTTCTTAAATGGTCTTCTAATGTGTATTTGTTAGTATACTTCAGCAAATAAATTAGAAGTTCACTGTGCTTCCTCTGTACCATCTGCTTTTAAGGTTCATGTTTCTTTTCCCTATTTTGGGTGGAAAAAGGAGAGGAGAATCATTGGCTTTAGCATGGTAACCTTTATAAATATGTAACTGTTGTACACATCTGAGATTTGTTGTACTTGGTTTTGATAAACTCGCTAGTGTTTTGAGTTGTCACTGCCAAAAGTGATTGAAATGCATAATTTATTTGTTCTTTTGAAATATTTTCCTGTCACTGAAACTGAATTCTATGCATACAGGATGATCTTACTGAAAAGGGGAAGAACAAACGGTTGGCTAGTTGGGATGCAAATGATATATATAACGGTCTTGATGATCTTAATAGTTGGAACAGTTGGGCTCAGATGTATCAAGGCACTCTTGATTTCTCAGGGATGCAGAGAGATGGATATCTTCTCAACAACATACTTCCACAAGACAATTCAGCCTATATAGAGCTTAATGATTTTCTCGCCCCGTTAAATTATCCACACAAAGTTCCTCGAACGGACCAGTCACCACTTGGCGACATATTTGGGTCCCACAGCTATGACAATGGTCAACAGTTCCGCCCTGGACCCAGTTTTGCTAGCACGAATCAGTATTCTTCTGGCCCGAATCAACTGCCTATGATGCCCGAAGGATTTCAACCTGGAAATAATTGTTTGGATGGCTTTCAGATGGTGAGCAAAATACCGATTTTTTTTTAAAATTTATTTTAAACAGATTATTGTAATTTGGTTTTCCCAGGATGCTCTTTTGTTCTATCATTCTCATGGACTTACCATGAAAATGCAGGCTGACAACCAGTTTTATCAGGGATCTAATGTTGCATATGATATGGATTTTGCATTTGGGCAACCAGGTAATAATGGTTTCAACTCCAACAATCAAGACTCGGAAAGAGGTAGACCTGCTGCTGATAACTGATGAATTTGACAACAGTATTCACATTCTATGAATTGTTTCTTCATCTCTATATATGTATGATGTATGCACTGTCAGAAAATGGCAGTTTGAAGAAAATTTGCTAAATCATCTCTCCCAGAGTCCAGCATCCCTTGCGGAACCGGGATTCTACTTGTGTTCAGGCATGGGGGCTACTGATTCTGTGTTCTGTCAAAAAAACGAAAAAAACACGAATGTTTTATTTTCTGTTATTTCATGACTTTACTATGTAAATGCAGCATCTCTTATTGAGGTTGCATTAAACCTCATTTTTTTTGTCAGGGAGGTGCTGCAGGTACCTTTTCTGAAGTTGCAGTATGATTTTACTGTTTTTAACTTTTTCTGTAGTCGATCTCATATTTTAAATTTTTTTTTGGCCAAATTTATTGTTCCAGGAATACCTAAGAAAACGGAATCAAATCCAGCTCGCTCAACACCTTCAGCTGTTTATTGTTCATGTAGTTGTACTAGTGGTGGCTCCTCCATACATATAAAGGCTGAGGTGACTCACGGAGCTGGTGAATGCACTAACGAAGCTTTATCAGTTATGATGGGGGGGTCGAGCAGCTGTTGGTGTATCCTCCCTTTCTTTCTTTTTAAGCACGAATTATTATTATTATTATTGTTTATTCTCGTGCGAAATTATCTGCTGCTTTTTGTGGTTTTCTTTTATTATTGCTACTTGAATGATGCTCTATTTGTATTTTTGAATACTTACTGTGATTGTTCAATTGAAATTGCTTCGGCACCATCCTCTTGAACAGATTTACTAAATGGCAACTTGGTTGATAATCTCTGAGTGTAGCTATTGAGTAAGATTTTTCCCGATAAACCATGGGATTTTTTACATGACTAGGAAGCATGGTTTTACTATATTTGGCCTATATGTTTATGATTTTGCTTCTTTGACACAATGAATTTGTGTCTAGTCTGATAATTTCTGTGGTTTTTAACTCAGCAGTAGTCAGTCACTCACTGTCAGCTGTCATCCTTTGCTTGTTCTATTTCTTTCTTTTAGGTTTAGGGGATGTCAAATTTTAGGGTTTATAACTTACCTTTATGATATTGAGGTTATGTGTAATTATAGCCCTGATTTAGTGGTGAAAGTTGGAACGGACTTTTTAATTTCCGTCGGTTCCGATTACAAAACTTGTGATTATGGAACATATTTTTCATTCTGATTTTTAAAATTCCAATTTCCGACATTTTCAGTTATTTTATTGGAATTAGTGTTATATAAAAAGTATTTGGAATTTTCGATTTCTGATCCGATTTAATTTTTTTTTTTTATTTTCCAAAAAAATGACAGATAATATTTGCATATGCTTCATGTTGGAGAGCCAAAATATTTCATTTTCTACTTTTCATATATAAAAAAAAAGAACTAGTTTCTTCCACAGTTTTGACTTTTATTTATTCGAGGGTTTAGAATTTTATGTGGCGTTGAAAGTAGGTGTCTGCAATCAAAACAAAATAGGTGTGCCGTGCAGTTAGAATTATATTAAGATTTATTATATGAGTAGTTTTAGTTTTGTGATTTCATGAAAGTGGGTTATTTTAGAAAATTTATAAGAGTTTTTGAAACTTTTTAAAAATGTTATTACTTGTGTAATTTTCAAAATTTTTGAAATTACGAAACATCTATAGGTTTTGGAATTTGAATGAATTTCTAGATTTCAACTTTTGGAATTGGAATAAGTTTTGTATTTCTGAAAAAAGAAAATTCCAAAAAGGTGTGGATTTTGAAACTATTGAAGTGTGGCTACATAAGATTACTGTAATCTGATTATACACTCACTATCGAAACAAAAGCGCCAGATTACATAAGAAAAACAAAGGGAAGAAATTAATAATTTACAGACTGATCTATTTATATATATACAAAATATATATATATATATATGTGCCGACGATGACGACTTTGATCAAAAGGGGGCAGAAACAATGTCTCTTATCCGTATTATATTATAAAAAATGCAGCTTTCATTGTATTCATCATCGTCTTCTTCGGCGTTTATGGCTGCCCTAACGCTCTCAAACCTTGATTTTGCTGCTCTTCTAACCACCGGCTCCGACACCTGCTCATTATCCACAATTTCAGTTCAATCGATCTGTTCAACTAATTATTAATATCATCGATCATAATACAAAACAAAGAAAATCAATTCGTTCTTGGATATTTTTTCGGATTTTATATATATAATATTATCTATAAAAAGATGATAAAATGAAAGAGTGAATTAACTAATTAAAGTACCTGAGTGAAAATGGCAGAAGCCTCCTGAATGGTTTTAGTGTTCATCACATGACGTGCCAATTCCTATTAACATATTTCAACAAAACAACTTAACACACACACCTTATGATAGATCTAGAGAGAGAGAGAGAGAGAGAGAGAGAGAGAGAGAGCTTGCCCTGGCTAGGTGGATCTGATGAATGTTGAGCGTACGAGGTTCATTCTCGATTGACGACTCTCTCTCTATTAATCTAAGACCTTCCTCCATTATATTATTCACTATATATATATTACCTCCGATTATTTTCTTCAACAAATTAAACATACACAGTATGTATGAATGTTTATAATTTCAACGTAACACACAGTAGATATATACTAATATGTAATGAGTATCGTCTTTTTATAATGCCGGCCTGGCCGGTTAATTTTAATTGAATTTCATGATTACGTGTGACTCTTTCCAACACGTGGCAGCGCATATCCAGGTCGTTGTGGCTTGGAAAAATATTTGTTCAGAAATGGTAAAGTTTGAGACTTCTAAGTTCTATATATGGGGGTGTTAGTGTGTTGGCCAAACGGGTGATATCCACGTGTACAATAATTGTATCTGTCTGTCTGCATCATCGCCGTTAATGTTGGTCCCACCCCTAATTATTCGTTTTAGCCGTACGTGATCAAGTTTTCTAGTGCTTCCACTTTACGCCCCTTTGTATTAATTAAGCGCCTAATTCCAAAAATACCCATAATAAGAGCACTTTGGCCGGTTGGCATTGTGATTTTTTTATGTCTTGCACAATAAAATTAGTATATTTTTACCTTTTTTTTGTAAACAACCAACACCGTAGTATTTCATACTAAAAGCAATGTTATTGTTTCAAATAAGGGATTATTTTGTAAAACCCCCTTATTTCCAAATTGGGGAAATATGCAATACACCCCTTATTTAGAAAATATTTTGAACTAAACCCAATTGACTTTAAAGATTTTTTCTATAACCCACATTCCAATCTAAATTAGTGAGACCCCCTTACCAGCCATGATAAGACTAAAGTGCCCATATGTGTTAGGTTTTTAATATAATACAATTTTATTTCTCCGTCAATTTCATTCTCTCGGTTCTCGCTCTCTCTCTTTCATCCTCTTGCTTCTTTTTTTCTCTGTTCACAATTTTTTTTCTTTCTTTCTTTTCTTTTTCTTCTTTTTTTCTTTTTCCTTCTTCTTCACATCTGCAGACCGCCACCGCCGGAGTCACCCTTCAAACGCCGTCGGCCGAAACCCGTTGCAGGAGGCCCTCCTCCACCGATGTTGGAGATCGTCTCCCCCCTCGTCGAACACCACCACATCAACGCCTGGTACAATTGGCGGCGGCGCCTTCCCCACCTTGTCGCTGCCTCCGTCAGATTTCTACATGGAGATTTCCCTTCTCTCAACGCGGAATACCAATATATACTATATTAATTGGTAAATTTTATTTTTTTATTTTTCTCGAATTAATTGTCGAACTAGCAATAGAATATGTTATGGATCTGGATTTTCAGTTCTATTATTTGTTTGTTATGAACGCATACATTGATTTTCAATTATTCTGGATTTTATTAATTTTTGTGTTATTCTGCATATATTGAATGTTTAGATCTGGAAAACCCATTGAATTACGAGATTTGTCGGTTGTAGTGCAATGTATTTTAGAGAGTAGTCACATTAAACAGAGTAGTCATGTTTAACAACTTAGTTATATTTTGTCCTTTTTTTTGTAGTGTTGCATAAGTTCAATAGTGTAGTCATATTTGACAAAGAAGATCAAACGGAAGATTAAGTGCAGTCGGTGCAACCGAGTTGGATACCGCAACAAAAAAACATGTTCGATGGCCATTGTTGAAGGATCACATTAGTTATTTTTGTTTTTTCGTAGTCATTTTTTTTCTTTTTGCAATGTATTTTGCTGTTAATATTGCAAGTTTTTTCAAGTGCTGATTACTTGTAGTCACATTACGCAGAACCTAGTCACATAATAGTCATATTCCCACTGTCCTGTTCAGTCTGTTATACAAACTGTAGTCACATAATAGTCATATTCATTCTTCTACTCTCTGTTAATTATAATGTTTTACAAAGCACAGTCACATTCACATAATAGTCATATTCTTACTGTTAATCCTGTTCAGTCTGTCATACAAACTATAGTCACATATTAGTCATATTCATGCTTCTACTGTCTGTTAATTATAATATTTTACAAAGCACAGTCACATTCACATAATAGTCATATTCTTATTGTTATATTTATAATTATGCTTCTACAATATGTTAATTACACTGTTATACACAGCGTAATCACATAATAACCATATTCAACTATAGTCATATTCGGAGTTGTAAATCTGTCGAGAAAAAAGAATATCAATTTTTTGTTTAAAAAAAATTTTAAAAAAATATTTTTTTATTAAAAAATATTAAAAAATAAAAAATAAATACAAAAAAATTGCTATAAAATCCGAAAATAATACAAAATAAAAAAAAATAAAAAAATCATATTTTTTGATTTGGTAGCAATTTTTTAGAAATTTGGAAGTAGATTTTTAGGAATTAGATTATTGTTATGGAAAGAGATAAAAAATGAATAATTGAGACTAATTATGCTATTGATATAAGGGTAGAATTGGAACTACAAATTCTAGGGGTTATCACAAAGAAAGATTTAAGGGTTGGACATATCACCATTTATTATCTATATGAGGGGTTTATTGCTAATGATCCCTTCCAAATTATATAGAACTAATTATCAAGTGGATTACACTCTAGGGGAAACCCCCCTCATTACGAAAATATTTTGACATACTCCATGGGCTACCCTGAAGTTCCTATAATACCCTTCTAAAATCAGTTTTAACCCTAGCCACTCACGCTTCCTTCTTCTCCCAGATTCAAAATCCCGCCTCTACAAACCTCTCACCGGCGAAATTGTTTCTCGGAGCCATAACTCTCTCTCCGGTGGTCGGAATTCGATGGTTTAACTACCGTTGGATTCCTCTCATCGAGCTCTTTCTTTTGGTGGTGATTTCATTTAGTTTCGAGCGCGGATCTGTTTCTGCAATTTTTTTTTATTCGAGGACGGTGGTCTTGCCGGAGCTTTATTTTGTGTTCCATCCGTCGAAAATTGACGGGTCACACACCGTTGGATTTCTCTCGTCGGGATCTATATTTTGATGGTAATTTCGTTTATTTTTATGTTTTCAGATTTATTTCTATATTTTTTTGCATTTGTGGGCGCGCGGAACCGTGGGTGGTTATTAGCGGCGTCTAGGGTGTTGGTAGGTGGCGAGGGGGGGTGAGGAGTTACTGTCTGTTTGATTTAAAATCTGTAGCATTTCCCTGCAATAACCTCTCTCTCTATCTCTCGATCTCTTAGTGTTTGTTGATTTTTGAGTGTTTTGATGCTTTTCTTCAAATTTTGTTGATTTGCACTAAAATAATTTCTTTTTATTTTTGATTTTTATATTGCAGCTTAATGAAGGCCATTGATCCTTTCCTTGAAGGTGTCAATTTTTTTTTTAAGTTAGATCTGATTTGTTCAACAGACTGTATAGTATACATTATTGTACATTACTATACATTACTATAGTAACATGTAGTTACATATGAGTATATTTGTGCATTTTCGATTTGTATTTTATTGGTTCTGATGTAGTTTATAATAAAAATACTGAAATTTGTAAATTTTTGTTGGGGTTTTATGAATTTATTTTGTATAAGTCAGTATTCGTGTGTGTATACAATTGATCGACTAAAAATATGGGGGAAAAAAACGAACATAACTATGAATTACTATAGGTACTATAGTTACATGTAGTTATTTTTAGTACTGTAAACATATTGTTTTGAAAATTAAAAAAAAAATTAAAAAATTAAATATATATATATATATATATATATATATATATATATATATATATATATATATATATATATATATATATATATATATATATATATATATATATATATATATATAACAAACAAATTTATAAAAAAAAAAAGGAAAATAATAATAAATAAATCAGCGAATGATAAATGCAGGACCATAAATGCTGAATGCAGTTTGGCCGAAAATTGCATATAAGGGTAGTATTATACTTTCACCTCTCCAGGGGGTACGTCAAAGGATGATTTGGGTTTGGGTTTATCCCTAGTTTATTTGGTGGCTAGGGGGTATGTAAAATAACCTCTTCAAATAATAATATTATTGTCTTGGTCTGCAATATTAATGTCTCAGACAGTAATATTTTTGTTAATATAGTATTTTTACTATCTTGGTCTGAAATACTACCGTCTCATACAGTAATATTGTTTAGAAATAACAAAAGAGATTAAAAAAACAAAAGTCAATGCACCGGTGAAGGTCAAAAATTGGGATCAACAACGATTTTTGGATGGTATGTGAAGAAGACGAAGAAGGTGGGGGTTTGAGAATATAAAGGAGAAGAGTGTGAGAATTTTGTACGGGAAGATTTTTTATGTTAATGTGGTATTGATTCTCATTTAGGTATCAATGTCACTACCTATTTATTACCTATTTGCTATCTAATTTTTATTTAAGTAGTATTAAATTAGGGATTATTAGTGAAAACCCCCTAACACATTAGGTTAAATAAGAATGACTATACCCCTATTTTACATATTAGTGAAAACCCTCTTATTCCATATTTCAATTTAACATAAATCCAAATTTTGAGTAGTATACCTGTATTACCCTTGATTCAAATAACAAACCCTATTTTTTCCCCTCTCCATTTTCTCTCACCAGCCCCCTACCTCTCCCGCGTTTCTTTCCCCTGCCGCCGCCCCCCACCTCCGCCCTTCCACCTCCAGTTCTCCAATAATCGGAAATTATCCATAACAATGAGATATTCGCTATACAAAGCAAGGATGGTGGTGGTTTCAGCCACAACGGCGGCAGAGAAGCTGTAGAAAATGTATTCAGGGAGGTAAAAGATTTTTCTGGAGGAGATGAGATTTATGGCTATGAAACTGCACACAAAGGACCAATCGAAGGAAGGGGAGAAGGAGCCCCAGGGTCAGCCTATTGCTAAGTGCAACCCTAATGTGGAGGATTGTGGAGAAAGTGTGAGTACTGAGTATACTCGAATTTGAGTTTTTATTTCTATGTTTTTGTTTGGGAATATTGGTGTTCTTTTATTTTCTTTGTTTGTTTAGATATGCTAATAATGGTGGTTTGCGATGAGAAAATCAAGAAATTACGAAAAT